GTCTACACGGTTTTAGGGTATTTCGCTGAAAATTGACATAAAAATTTGAGAATTAGTCATGGCTACATATTTTTGGCCAGCACTGTAATAGTCAACAATGTTAAAGCAGCACAAATATCAAGTATTGATTGCAGAGATCAATATAATCTAAGTACAAGCATATTCGGTAACTTCTACAACAGTTTTTTCTTCTGAGTTCCATCCAAGTAGTGCTAGATCAGTTACCCCATCCCTTAAACGCTTCATGGATTTTGTTTTTCTCTTGATCGTCACACGAACCATTCACATCCACTTCGTGCAATCGCTGTACGCCTTGTCCGTTTTCCACAGTGGTCACTCCACTACGAGAGAAGCCAACTAATACCTTGGATTTAACTGTCAAACGTTTGAAGTCTGGGGTCAAGACGCATGCACAAAATTCACTCTATGAACATTGTTTTGGATACACAGGTCACATTCCTTAAGACGACCGCATACGGCTGAATCAGCAGCGGCGCCGCTAGTTATTGCCCTCTATGAGGACTGCATCTTTGACAACCTGGCCAAGAGTTGGAATGGAAGCAAAGGACTCGCTTTTCACACTATGGCTTTGCCAAAAAGTTCAAGCGCCCATGCTGATCTTCGTGTAGTACGTGATTCATTCCGCAAAAGTCGGTGTTGGTATATGTAATACACCTTTACTTCGCGCAGAAATCAACAATGCTATTGCCATGAGCCTGTTGATACCCATTTCTTGAACCTGAAATAAGGCCTATATCCACATTTAAATACGAAGCGCGTTCACCCGCATTACACAAGAGCAGCGACGACAAAGAATATGTCAACTTATGAGCGCCGACAATCTAAGTGGAGTGGAGTCTCAAACAAAACCTCCAATTTATATACGAACTTAGGTATGCGCATCTTCACAAGCTTTGAATCACCTCGCTTACTCAACGAGCAGCACTTGTGTTTTTTACGCGGCAAGTTTTTTAAACTTATGGACTTGACGGTAGGCGTCGACTCTGTTGTGTGATCTTATTGTAGGAATGCATTTTGTCGAACAGATGGCACAATAAAGGTTCGAAATTTCATCGTTTACTATCAGTGGCTTAGATTTGGTTAGCTACTTTGAGATAATTAAAGAATCAGCTACCTGGAATGGTTGCGACATTGCTTTGCCTTTAAGAACACGCACCTCGATCGAATGGCTCATAAGAAAGGAGTTCAATATGGCTGGATTGAGACAAATGCACTACGAAATCTATAAGCATCCACATCGTGAAGTAATTTCACCTTATTAGTGCTAAGAAATTCCACCAAAATCTGGCTAAAGTGCTGTTCTTGATTGGGAACGAAGGCCGTAAGCAATTTATGATGCTTATTTGATATCGGGTTAGTTGTATCTTCACTGGTGATGATGTCACTGATAGCAGAGAGGTGAACCATGTTGTTGTAAAGCCGAACTTTCAATTATCGGAAGCATCTCAAGAAAGATCACAACCTCAAGATAAAAACTTATATATACGAATACCATAGTCGATGCGTGATGTCACCATCATGATCGGATTCAAATGAGCGCGCTACATCAAAGCATAAAGGCTTGAACTTTCATCTTAAATGTAGAGAAAAAACATATTCATCCCGTTATGATCTGATAGAGATGTCGTGACGATTTTGGATACTTATGCCAGAAGCGAAGACAGTGGTCAAACAGATATAAATTTGACTAGATCAGGACTCCCACTTGTGATTGACGAGGTGTTGTACTTTAGAATTCGAGCTCCGAACAATCGTGAGCTTTTACGATGTAAAGAGCTTTTCTATAATCATATCACTATTAGTGATAGCAGTTCCACCGAGAATGACTTGATACTTCGTGTTCTCGCTTAACACATCATGAACTTCTTGAATCTACCACAATTGAAGTCATAGTTAGTGTTATCCATATACATTTTAATTTCGGGCATACGAACCTCTTCAAAAGTGATGCCACCAACTATAAACACAATAATCACGTCGGCACTTCCCCCGATCCGATTACCATTAATTGCACTTTCGCTACTGCCACGAAATCCGAATTTACTAAAGCCACTCTTCAAGAGATTGATCCCAGCGCGTGTCAGCTGTTCGGACGCATCGACAACCTGATTCACACAAAAACACAGTAAGAGACGGGCAGGTTTAGTAAATAAACTGATAAAAGTTTGGTTATCAGCGTACGTGCTCAATCTCTTCAACGGGCGCTTTACATGAATCTACAATTGAGCTGCAGAGTTGAGCGAGTAGCGAACGCGGAGAATCATTTGAATCGCTAAGCTTTGCACACTGCTGCTTGCAATCCTATACATAAAACTCCATCGTATAAGCATAGAAAACTGATACATCTTTCACTCAGACAACAGTCACAACCTCTAATATACTCATTAATTTTTCCACATATGTTTCAATGATTGACCTTGTTTCCACCATCTTGGACTTATTATCATTAATATGAGAGAATTGTTCCACAGTTGTTGGGGTGACATTGTTCTCATTCCAATCCCAATTATCATCTTCGATATCACAATCAGTTTTTGTTTGTAGCCCATGAGTGTGTATGTATGGCAGAAGCTGAGTGTATAGCTTTGGAAGTACTGCTTGCAATGACAGTGGTGCTTTTTGTACTGCCTAATGAACAATCACGCATTAAAAGTGAGGATCCGAATCACAAATAGTCGTTCCACGAATTTTTCTACCTGCCACACAATTTCAACTAGAGTCTTTTGCACCATTTGAAGGGTATAGTCTTCCAATGGTGTTCCACTCGAACGTGCGAATGCATTCACGAGTAAAATCAATGATTCTTGCAGTGAAAAGTTTTCCTCATCCGTTGCTACAATCTGTCGCTGCATGACGTCCGCATATTCTGGAAGAATCCATTCACTTTCACCTTGTTTCCAAAGCTCGAAATGACGCACAGCACGCTCGCGACACTTGTTCCATCGCATTTGTATCTTTTCCATCCGTTCCAATGTTTCCAAAACAATTACACCGAGCTCAATTAACGAGCTGTGCTCCAGATTCATGGGCTCTCCAGCTTCGAGAATTTTACTAATACGACGCAGCACAACATCACGTCCACGTACCTTCTCCCCAGGTCTACGCGTCACTGCAGTTGCTTGAATATTTCCTTGCTGAAGCAACGTCTGCTCTATCGATTGTAGACGCTTGTCCAAATCGCGCAATGCGAGCTTGGCAGGTCTGAACGCCAGTGATCGAAATACATTTAAGCCATTATCAATAGTTGGATGACATAGGTTCGCTCCTCCTTTCCACTGAATCTGAGAAACAAAATTCGATGTTTGATAACTAGAAGTATCGGCAAGTGCTGCTAATGGCGTTGGCTCACAACCATGAAGTGGATATATCTCTGTCACATTTTCTTGTCTCTATGACATGTACTGTTAGTAAGCGATCTTCTACCGATATTTACAACGTACAGTCGTTGATCCGACAACCCCAAAATCTTCTTGAATTATCGATTTTGTAGGCGTTTGAGGCAATAAGGCAAGTACTCGATCAAGAAGTGAATCTCCAAACGAACTTGGTGAGATCACGTCAGTCGTCCTAATAACCAAAATTTAAGATAAATTTCATCCCAAAACTCTACTTTCCATCATATTATCCAGCAAATACAATCTTACCGATCAATAATAAGTATTGAAGCAGATTTTTGGTCTTGAGAGGTAGAATCTTGCTGCATTTCATTCAAAATTCGTAACAACGTGTGTCCAATCTTAAGTGACGTGGCTCCAAGAGCGAATATTCGATCTTTCACGTCCAGTCGAGCTCCAAACATAATTTCTGCAATAGTATACGCTAGTAATCTCATCGAACATCGAAAAGCACTCGGAATGTCTTCAGGCACCACGTTTTTTACATGCAAATATTTTCTTCGATTCACATCGTCATGTTTTGTAGGTGAAGTAGGTGCCGTCAACTTGTTGTTTTCAACTTGGTGTAGCAAAAGTGGAAATGCCGATGCGCATGTTGGCTGAGAGAGCACAAAGACCGATGGTTCGGGACTAGACGTCTTTGAATATAGTAAAGGGACCATACTAAGCGGTAAATGAATTACTTGTACCCTGTTTTGACCCATAAATGTCTCCCTTGTAGTGTCTAAATCGTTCCAATCCCAATCATTCGCTTCATTTAAACTTAATTTTTCTCTTTTCTCCATTTCAAACGTAACATTTGTCTTCACTTCAAGTGCAAATTCGTGAAACTTCATTTCTTTAGAAATTTTAGTTCCCATAGCTGAATCTTTCATATTGTTTTCTGCTTTAGAAAAGTCATAGCATTCGTGTGCTTTCTCTGATATGCTGCTGCAGATTGTAAGACGGTGAATGACGTCGAGTGTTAATAACCTTTTTAATGCTTTTTCGTAGTTCCAGAGAAAATCTGATAGTAATAACGCTACATGATCCACAGTTTCTGTCTCTTGTAAAAGCAATAAGTGACGTAATTCTTTGGAAGATGCACAATTAAGTAAATCTGAGGCAGAAAGCACATTCTGAACACCAAAATCGCGCAGTAATAGCGGCATTGCTCCAGACCAGCGTAAACTTTCAATACATCCATTCTCTGCAGCTATGATTGCTCCTCGTAGATGCTCAGCGGCTTGTAATACGCCATTCAAGACCTCCTCGGCCAAGTTTACCACACTTGACATGAGTACAATGAAATATGCGAGTTTTTATATCCTTTAGTACTGATATAATAGTATACACATTAATACAGAAGTGTCGTCCTATGAAAACTATTCCATCCTGGAGGACCATCTTGAATAAATATATCACTTTTATTTTTCACGATATATTTCACATTAACTATTTTTTTTAAGTCTTGTCGATACTTGATACACTTAAAATGGCACGCAATGGACGTCGCAAAAAGCGTCGCATGACACCGCAAGACGAAGAAGTAGCACGTCGCAATTTTTTGGATGCTTTGGAAGCACAGCGTTCAAATTCTCGCAATCAAAAGGTTAAACATGCTGTGAAACATGAAGCTGCGCCACCGCCACTTCAAGGCTTTTACTATGATGAAACCAAACGTCGTTTTTTTCGCAATCTACCAGCATTTGAACGCCAACAACGTGAAGAAATCGAGTCTCGACAGCAAAATTATGAATCAACATTCAAATCTGCAGTAAATACTCGACATATGAACAGTCACACTTATGTGGCTTACATGGCTCGACGACAAGCTGATTATGCCTGGAGTGCACGTCGTCAAGATAGTCGAAAGTTGATGCCAAGATTACGTTCTGGAATTCTGGTATGATGTTAAAAATGACGCATCAAATATTTTGATTTGGCTCATATGTATTGAAAATTATAGTCATCACATGAAGTATATGCTCAAGATCTTAACAATGATGGTCGGCTCACAGCACTAGCACTGCACCCAAAAATGTGGAATGTTGGTGCTGTTGGTGGTACGTTCTGGAGTGTAGAAGGAATAGTTATGGTGTTTAAAAATGTTATATGATAGTTAGCAGTGGAAAGTGGCAAGTTCTTAAGCTGCAAGAATTTGAACCAAAGTCATCGTCAAAGCATGTGATACCTGTATGTGACTTTTATAATGAGGGTGTAATTACTTCATTACAATGGCGTCCAGCTCAAGAACTTGATATTCTTGCATGCATCATTGGGGATGCTCAACAATCAGATAAAATTGTTTTTATACGAATTGGAAATAATGCACTTCAGGGAGATGCAGCAATGTCAAGTTTACGAATGAAGGTAGGGATCAATGATATTGATGAAATCATAAGAGTATCTAATGATCTGATAAAATGATTAGAAAACATGCTTTGACAATCCTTGGGTAGCAAAATGGTTTGACTAGAAAGAACATTTAATTTCTAGAAGCAAGACACTCACTGCCTTTATATGCTAGGAATCCGGTCGACACCAGCAAAATCAGCATTGGATATGGCAAGTTAGTATTCATCTAACTCATATTGACCATTGATATTAACTATCTTGTAGTCATGCTAGACATCAAGCAAAGTCAAGAGCTGCTTATGTGGATGTTGATGCTGACAATAACTACCACCAATGTGCACCGACTGGACTTATTACTAGCGACGTACACGCTCAAAGTTTCTTTTCCACGGTAAGTCTTGCAATAGATCTATAACACAAACTATTCGATTCAACAATGTCCATCTACAGGGTAATGTGGTACTCAATGGAACGAAGTGCGGTGGATTATGGGGATGGGACCTACGAACTTCCAGTCGGATGTTTGAAATGAATCAAGAGGATGCGCTTTATCAACCTGCTTCCATCGTCGATATCCATGTACTGAACGACTGTTATCAAGCAATTATCCAGCGATCAAACGGTGAGCTCCGTTTATTCGATCTTCGAACTTTAAGACCCGTAGTCGAGTATACGACAGGTGCAGCAAAACGCTATGTGCCAGATTTGCGCTGTGCTATCGACGAGTCTGAGTCAATTGTGGTCGCTGGTGGCGATATACGACGACCACTGGCAATAAATAGCTTTGATTTGCGGCAGGGACACTTTTTGTCGTCCTTTCAGGTCTGCAATAACCCAAGGATACAGAAACGATCGACAGCAGTACAACAAGTGCAATTTAAGCCAAGTGAGATTAAACAACGTGATGACAACCTGCTTGAGATTTGGGCAATTTCTCACAACGAGCTCTACGTTAGTAGTGGCGAAAGACGTGATATGAACGAGTAGCTAAGACAAGATTGAGAGTGAATTATAAGATGATTCTACCTTGGTGTCTCAATCTTCTTCATCCGTTGGAGGAGATGGATCTTCGAGCAGGTCAGGCTGTTCCACAGGAAGTACACAACTCAGTGTCGGTTTGTCATCAACGTCACTAGTTTCTTCACTCCAACTAACGCCACTACCAGTCTGTAGTTGCTGTGGTAAAGGTAATTGATAAGGTTCTGCGCGAAACTTGACCCCATGACCGACGTAAATATTACAAAACTTTTTTCCTACTGCAATACTCACAGCTCCAGGCCATATAAGACTCCGTGCAATCGCAATATCACCTACTGACGGCTGTCGTGTTGCTGGTTGCCGATCTAATCGCCACGATAATGGTTCGTCTTCACTTATATCTCGAAGTGGTGGTGCAAAAGTCTCTTCTTCACGTGATTCTTCTTCCCCGTCTGCATTGAGAAGAGGAGGCATTGGTGTCATTCGACCGTATCGTGCATTGATCTCTTTTGCTATGTGTGTCCAATTTTTAAGCTCAAGCAATTGCTCTGTACTCTTGACCTCAAACGTCTCTGCAGGCGCAATCTCTCCTTCCGTTACATCAAAGTACCCAGCAGGACTCAGTGCCGTTCCAGCAGAGATACGAGCAATTTGAGCCCGCAAGAAATTCTTTTCCAAGCCAGGAAAAGGTGGATGTCCTGATATTGGTGCCTCCAAGTCTCCTTGAACATAGCGACAAAGCTGTCGAGCAGCTACAATCTGCTCGCATCGTACAGGAGGCAGCCGAACCCATTGGTATGTTCCGTTGTCTTTCATTGCCCAGTATGTAAGTTTATTGACCCCTGCAAAACCCTCTTCGGCTTCTAAATCTTGAGGTTCGTAAGCTTGTACGAGTTCTCCTTCAGCAATATAAAAATCTGCTTTACGGCCAAGAATCTTGCCCCAAAAGCGCAGATTTACTGTCTCAATTGTCTGTGCGAGACTTTGAAGTGCCAATGACAGTCGAAACGTCTCGCTTTTGGAAAATCCAAGTCCAGCCCACTCAAATAAATTTGCTTCATCAAGCAAATCAACTTTACTTGTGCTTGCCATAGTATTGTCAGTCTGAAGCTTAAGAAGATCTAATGCTGTATTGGAATAATTCTCTTGGTATGTTTGCTGTATTGAATCAGAATATTAGATAGGTTTGAGGAACAAGTCGTGATACGTACTGCTTCTTTCTTGCGACTTGATACTTGAGAACTTTGATCGTCCGTTGTCAAGTCGTGTGGAGCTACATAGCGCTCTTGTTTGACCAATGTCGAGATATTTTCAAAAGTCTCATGCAGACCTTCGGGTCGCTCTACAATAATCTTTAACAATACATCACTTAAATGGTCATAAAGATTTGTTCCGTCGTTAGATTCTTTCTTAAGAAACGCTTTGGCTTCCTCCAGTGTTGTCATCGTTTGCGTTGAATACGTGGATTTGTATTAGTGATAGATGAAAGCGTCGTTTCGGTCTAAGGATATCAAGAGACACAATACAATAATTTACCTAGAGTTTGTCAATACTCTAGTAGTTTTTAATTTCAAGTGCTTCAGCACTACTAGAGATAACCAGCTGATCCCACGCCTTCCCATGCCAAAGTATTGACGTCTTCACCGAAATCAGCACTTGAATCGTCATAGTGATTAACACTTGAAGAAATAATTGGCATTGTGCTAGCTCGTCGAGCTGATGTTTTTGCTTTCTGAACCTTCAGTCCTTTCGAACGACTCACAGAAGCTGAAACATGATATCAATAGCTAGTCAGACCCAAGCAAAGCCTCATTTGTTACAGCAAGAAATACCTCGTCGTGGTGTAGTGGTAGCCTTCTGTTTCTTGCCCCCTTTAGCTGCTTTGCGATTTTGTGATACTGGTTTGAGTGATTTTCCTGCTTCTTTGATTTTAGCAGATCGCTTACGCTTTCTTGACTGCGCCTGTCTGGTTGCAAAGCGATCTGCGTACGTCTTCTTAGATCTGAGCATTCATTTAGTTAGAGATTTTATGTAAGTCAATTACAGAGGTCGTACATACCTTTGGCCTGCAAACATTTGAGTGTAATTTATGCGGCATCCGTAATCACGTTGTACGTCTTCCATGCATAGAAAATGTTCAAACTCTTTCAAGTCAGCACGCACTACCGGTGGTCGTGAAGTAGTCGACGATAATGAGGGCTATTATATATCAAACATTCTGGTGTAAGTAGCCCTCAAAAAGACGATACTGTGAGTATAGTGTCACCTCATTATCCGAAATATCCTCGACATAATCAGGATCGACATCTGTAACTTCGTTTAGTGTGTCAAAGTTGTTGTATCGAGACATATCTGCGTACGGATTGTCGAGCTCACTGAAAAAAACGACGGATGAAAGGGTCAGTTTTTCATCAATGAAGGATTCGAGTTAGCCTACTCATCATCGTGTCTGTAGCGCGACTCTTGTTCTACGGGGCTCCACGACAAATCAACACAGTGATTGTTGGGGACTTCTGTATCTTCAAATAAGAATTATTGTCAGCTCTACATTGGCAAACAATAGCTTCGACATACTGGCAGGTAGTGAAGAGTCGCAAAGTTCACATCGTGTGCTTCCCGGTGCATTGATGTTTGTGCACACGGAGCATTGTGGACCATTTTGAGGCGTCATTCCTATTTGATCTTCTTGCAATCGATTGCACACATAACACTGAGTGGTACCGGGGGCGTTGAATGTTGCGCATAACGAGCATTTCCAACGGTCTTCAGAGGCTTCATCATGATTTTCTTTCGCACTATGACACAATTGACATGTAGTCATATCTATGTCGTTAACATTCGCACAAACGTGGCAGGCCCATCGCATGTTCAATCCTTCTGTAGATTCAACATTATGTTTGATGTCGTTATTGCGCTTGCAATGACACCTCGAGCATTCCAGCCATGTCTGCTCATTAACATTAGTACAATTCGGACACGCCCACGAGTATTTCAATGAATCGTTTTTTTCGTCGTTCCGTCTTTTAAGTCGCCTCAACTTAACACTATGGTCATCATCTGAATCACTTAAATCGAGACCTGCATTTGCCAGTTTCGTTCTAATCTCGGGCTCTTCAAAATTGGATCTATTTGCCAAATTACTTTCCAAAATCGGTGAATAAGTCCGCTCCTCTTCTTCTTTGTTCCAAACCTCTCCACAATGTCCATTTTTCGTCTTGTCTGTGGCCATTTGATCTATTCCATCATTTGATAAGGCTGCCAGCCCAAGCAAATTAAAACAAGGTTCATCTACATCTGCTTCTGTCTCTTCATCCATCATATTCTCGCTTTCATCCATCTTATCTAACGTATAAATCCCCTCCAAGTTATTACCGCTTCCTATATCCTTTGATGTCATTTCTCGTTCTCTGAATGTTCCAGCATAATCTGAATTCTGTGTCTTTTCCTTTATATCCCTCTGCTCTGAGCTAGAAAGCTCAGTTTGTCGCCAACTTCCACGTCTTCTATTGACATTCAGTCGTTTTTCTGATTTCCACGAAGAAACACTAGATTTATTATGGTCTCTGGGTACTGAGCTGAAAAAAACACCTGCTACATGACGGTAGGTGATCTGCGCTTCGGGTACTGTGGTAGTAGAAGTTGAAGGTTTAAGATGCTGAAAATTTTGGGGCGAATGCGCTGACGGACGAGCATTGTCACAAGCCGCACAACGATTCTCTTCTGGTGCGTTGAGCAGCGTACAAAGCGGACAACTCCACTCCGGAATGCCAATCTCTGGCATTGGAGTCCGCGCCATTTTATGAAGTGTTAAGAAAAATAGTGCAATCTGATTCGTCAATAACGTCTTAATAAATACAAACGACTATACTGTAAAAGTTAACAAGCTCATGGCTACATTATGCATCTTGGAACCACTCATGCTTCAAAAGCTCTGTAGCTGACGGTCGCGACTCTGGAACAACGTCCAGCATACTTTGTACAAATTGTTTCGCCACTGGAGACACTGCATTCCATTGTGGCTGATCATACCACACAGCACCGAGACTAATGAGTTTAAACAGCTCAACGTCGTTCTTGGCTTCATCAAATGGTACCAGACCTGATAGCATCATGTAGGCAAGGATACCTGTACTCCAGATATCAGCCGGTGTACCATGTAGACGGCCAGAGACCAACTCAGGACTTAGATACTGTGGAGTGCCACATATAGTAGCCTGACCATTGTTGGCCACTTGCAGCTCTTCTGACAGCCCAAAGTCTGCAAGTTTTACAATCAACGAGGCATCGTCATTCTTATGTAGTAAAACATTCTCAGCCTTGATGTCTCGATGCACTTGACCCATACTGTGGCAATAATTGAGCGCCAGGAGCATTTGTTTAAGAATCTCTTTCGCCACTGGCTCAGACAAGATTTTTCGCTCGTCTATCATATTGCGAACACTTCCTTGATTGCAATATTCAAGCACAAGTAAATGTTTGTCAGCTTCAGTGTAGAACCCAAAATCCGAAATGATGTTGTGATGTTTCAGACGATTGAGTGCACCGACTTCAGCAATTAGCTCTTCATATCCTTCTTGAGTCAAAGTCTTGTTCTCGATAACTTTTACTGCTACAGTCTCACCCGTTTTACGGTTAGAAGCCTTATATACGGTAGAAAACTTGCCAGAACCGAGTTGTACTCCAAGTTTATACGTGCCATTAAAATCAGTTCCAACCGCCTTATGAAGATTGTCGAGCTGGTGCTTTGCTTCAACGCGGTTATTCACGGTTTTGACACATTTGCGGTTCAAACTTGGTCCCTTACCTTTTAACGATAAGGCCCACGAAGTCGATCTATCATCCACTTCAACACTTTTGTTTATGCCAGCGATGCGCATGACTTTTTCCAAATCGTGATCATTTACATACGAACCACGAACTGTCGCCCATGATCTTGGTGGTAATACACCTTTAGGAACACCTGCTTTTTCCAAGTAACTTTGGGGCATCATACGTATAACTTTAGCTCCTGGACATAAGAGCTCTTCGACCTGTGAAGTTGGTAAATCGCCCATGAGACTAACGTAAAGAGTATGAGCATTCGTAGCACTAGCAGCCAATGCCTCACGTACGTTGGTACCTAAGAATACGAGATCACAGTCTGCAAGTACGTCCTGATTCGTATCAGTAGTTGTAAAGCCCAAACGAGTGAAGACGCGACGTCGCTCCTCGGATGGATCAGAAGCCAACAATGTCGATACGAGACGCTGCTTTTTGTAGCTAAACTTGCGCTGGGGCGTCACGTTCTTGATGAGGTCGCGCGCAACACATTCGGCAAGACGTCCTGAGCCAATAAAACCCACACTTACGACAGGCATGATGGTTGATGTTTGACCTTGGACGCAAAACCAAAAGTTGGCTGGATATGTTAGTATGAAAGAAAGGTTCGTCTACCCACTTACTTGGTCAAACAAAAAATTGTGGACTTAAAGTCAATCTTATCTACTTAAAGTGTCACTTTATACTGGCATTTTAAAGAAAGGGCTGTTCACGCGTCATCTGTCATCATGCTAACCATTCGCAAGGGCACTTGACACAGCATCAACACAGTCGTCACATTCTATCATTATTTACAGAAAAAAACATGTACTGTATCATTGTACATGTAAAGACTAGTACACGATTTGTTCTAATGATTTGTAGAGACCTCTTCACTGATGTTTCACATCATATTGCTACAAGATTGTATATTTTTATATAATGAGATACTTATCGTGCCTATATCGTACTTGAAGAACAGGAGCAATTTAAACAAATCGACAAAATGACGTATGCCCATCAGATCCTTTTTGCAATATATATTCTCAATCATTGGTATAAAATTTTCGAAACTTAACAAATCAGTCTTATTCAAGACACCTCTATGATTTCATTACGACGGCGAATATTGACAGCACATTCCTATACCATTGATGATTACTTGAATGCTCCTCGGTTGAACAATCGTTGCACATATGATGATCATGTTGAAGAAACTGCACTTGCCTAAGTTCAAGGAGCTGCTTTCGGCATGCGATCGGAATATGGAATGTCGAGTTTTGGTTTCATGGCTGGAAACAAAATCACCTCCTAAAATATAAGAGAATTAGATCAAGTATGCTTGGAATGACAGATTGGAATAAAGTTTATAATAAATAGACCTTCACGCACCCGAATATGCAGCTTGCCTGAAAGCAGCATGACCAAGCGGTCAACGCCAATTCCAAACCCTCCAGTTGGTGGCAAGCCATACTCGAGCGCTGTGCAAAACTCATCATCTTTTTGGTGTGCTTCATTGTCACCGCGTTGCTGATCCACTTGTTGCGCTGCAAACCGCTGGCGCTGATCAGATGGATCATTTAATTCCGTATAGGCATTGCACAATTCTTTTCCCGCTACAAAAAGCTCAAAGCGTTCCGTAACGTTCTCTTTGTTGCGATGCGCTTTAGCGAGTGGGCTCATGCAAGTAGGATGGTCATAAAGAAACGTCGGATTGATACACTTGGGTTCAATAAAATGTCCAATTAACTTGTCCATGAGACGCGTGCATGTGTGTGGCTTGGCACACTCCACGTTATGGCGCTTGCACAGCTCCAACAGTGCTGGGATTGAATCTATCATAGAAATTGGAGATGCAAAATATAAGCATGACCAAAACTTGGATTTGTCAAGCATCAAGTCAAACGAACCTGAAGAATTGACGTCTGGGAGCTTTTCACCAATACAATCCTCAAGAGTTTCAAGGATCGAAAGTCGTTTGAAAGGTGGTGTGAAATCGATCTCTACGATAGCATTGCAAGCTCCTTCATTGACCTCATCCAAAGGATACTGAATTTTGAACGATCCCGTCACATCTTTGACAATACTCGAAATCATCTCTTGTGCCGTATCCATTAGCATGTTATAATCTGCGTAAGCCTGGTAAAACTCACACATGGTAAACTCTGGATTGTGCGTCGCGTCAATGCCTTCATTTCGAAACACCTTGCCAATTTCGAATACACGGTCGAAGCCACCAATCACGAGTTGCTTTAGAAATAGCTCGGGAGCAATGCGCAGGTACAAATCCTTGCCCAGAGCGCGAGAATTTGTTACAAAAGGCTGTGCAGCCGCACCTCCTGCTGCTGCGTACAGCATTGGTGTCTCCACCTCTATAAAGTCCCGATCTTCAAGATATCGTCGAATGCCTTGAATAACTTTTGCACGCGTGTGAAAAATCGGTCGCACTTCTGGATTTGTCAACAGGTCAAGATATTTCTTGCGAAACCGAATCTCCTGAACAATCAGCAAACGCTTAAAATCAATTTCCAACTTTACTCACCACGTTGTAGCTTACCGGCTCTTTGATGCCATATTTGCTATTTGGAAAAGGCTGAATACAAGGCGCCAATACTTCCAATTGCTTAGGAATGATACTCAGCTCTCCTTTTCCAGATTTGCCAGGAAATCCCTTTACACCAATAATATCACCTCGACGTAAACTCTCGTGCACGGCAAGAAACTCTTTTTTAATACTCTCTGTATCTTCTCCACCTTCATCTTTACTTCCTTGAAAGTGTTTCACCTCGGAAAGCACTTGCACCGTATGGCCATCGCTTTGTAAATCGATAAAAACGAGATTTTTACTGGCATGACGAATTGCAACCACTCGTCCTACTCATAATCAATTCATGTAAAAAATTAGTTTACTGGATTAGAATGCGATCGTTACCACCTACCAGCTAAGGCCACTGCTACATTTGGACAACGAGCTTTGGGCTCCAACGTCTTAAACTTGTGTTGATACTCCCGCAACGACATGATAATAGGAAAGAAATGCGGATAGTGCTTAAAGTTTGCTACATCTCGAAAACGCTCTAATGCTGCTGGTGGCGACACGGTTGACGCCGTCGACAAATGTCTCCGATGGCGCAAACACGCACGCAGCATCATTGAATTTTGTGACGGATTTAGGTAGATCACACCAATTTCCAATAGGAGATCAGCGTTTTGGTCGGAAGCACTTTGTGACCAACAATATTGGGTCAAAGATACCAAATTTCAATGTCGCTTTGATTAATTTGGTATATGAGCCTATGCGTTCGAAATGACGCTGGCTCTCGGTCTTCTAAATCCTCAAGCCATCCTATTTAGCGCTCGTTACTTGCTCAAGTGCTTTATAAATATTGGCACGAATTGTGCGGACTGATACCCCGCCTAGCAAATCGTCTAAGATACTACATTAACAGCAAATGCTACAATCTTCTCTCCTGTCTTTGAATTCTCTTTCATTTTGCTAAAATTTCTTGCGCCAAGCGTAAGAATTGGGTCATATGCATAACTAGGAAGGACGCATCACTTTGGTAAATTACGAATGCTAAAATCACCACAAATCTGCGACTGCTCTCGATGTCAATGTTGCTACTCGTAAGGACGTACGCCCAGTCAAGAGAGCATCGAAGCCACGATGTTTGACGTCGCTTCGATGCATGTCCCTACCCTAAATAAAGCCTCAGTGTCAGCTTAATTGCCGCATGAGAGAGTTAATATAGTAGTGATATTGTATGTGGCGCGTTCGCTTCAGCTCGACCAGTGAAAGTGCTGAACTACATCGCACGACTCATACGCTACCCTAAAAGCAGCTGCCTTGTATTTAGCTAGTTCAATGAACTAGCACAATTACACCTCCTTCTCATCTTATCCGCTCGTCTTATTGAACTAAACACAAAATAAGTCGTCTTCGCCTTCAGCTCGTCGTGATACTTCTTCCAATGCGCATGAATTCATCGTGTGAGGGAAGATGATAAGTGGAATTGTTGCATTGACAGTATTTGCCGCTGTAATTTTGAGACGAAGGATCGAGCTTCTGCTCGTGTATGGGGGAGGCAAAGTCCTTAATTTTAAATTTGAGGGAGGCAAGTCCTTAATTTTAAATTTGAATGTGCTAGCACCCCAAGATACCACCTTCCAACCTAATATCGCGATTGGCTTGGGCGAGTGCTCGACATTGCAGACATAAGTTGTTTATTTTCAAAGCTTCTATCTCCATTCCTTAATCCCGAAGGGTCCTCGCTTCGTCAATGATCACCCTAACCGGTTCTCCATCAGGCTCCTCTATCTTCGAGACAAAAATCAATTGCTGTCGCCTCAATATCCCCTTTCAAGTCTCTTTTGCATCTGTCACGTTGTTATTAACAAAGGCGTCAGCGTCTGAATTCATAAACAGTTTCATTCTATCGTCTTGAACTTCGTCCCAGGTCCTTACCCCATACTTATAGACTGCGTCTAAGCGACAAGCAATCAAGCAGCTGAAGGTGTATCAAGGATCAAGCAATGTGAAATTACCACTGGGTACCCCGACGAATTGTTCAATCGCACGCAGGTGTTAAAACATTATCATGTTGAGAGTTGTGCCCTTCGTGCTAGCTCGAAAAGTTTTGATATAATCAGAGCTTTGAAAAACATTTGCAATTGATATTTGATATTTGATGACTTGTAAACAATCCAACAACGCCACCTCGACAATATAATCATCACCTTACCCATTCGAATTTTTCGACGACCTCCCAACAACGAATACTGGGGTCAACACTAAAAGTGTAGCTTAGAATTTCATGTATCGTCTGTGTATTCGTCTTTATAACAAAAAAGTCATATATTCCTATTTTATGTGGTCACACAATTTAAAAGACCTCCAAACGACAAAGTGAACTTCAACTTCCTTTTATTATTAAAAGTAAAGCTGGAAAGATGGCCAAGATTACGAACTTTATGCGCGTGACGAAGCAGCCAAGGGCGCATGGGAAGAAGATAGATACGTCAGCTGTAACTAAAGAGTATATGCTTAGTAAGGAAGAAACGATACATTCAAATGATGCGGATCATAGCGATGAAGAGCCGGAGGGGCATATTCCGGTTTTTATCTACGAGGTATTGTCGATTCGCTGCAATAACTTCGACAAATTTATATTTATCTGGTTTGATTGTTTAGTTTGTCAAGTACAAAGCTAAGCACGAAAAGCACGAGACTTCTAAGAAACTCAAGACAATTGTTGAGTATATTAAGGTGAGATAAGAATTTGAACTTGATAAAGCAGCTATTACAACTTGTAATTCTATAGAAGCATTACGATGTACCAAAGGATTTCGAAGTGAATGCCAAGGTGGGAGTTTTGCCGTAAATTATATTATCATGGTATTAAAATGAGCGTGAAAACTATCGTTCGCTATAGTTTGGGTGCCACAGTGGATTGACGTTCGAGAAGCGGCTGACGAGAGCGTACTTGATGGGGCAACTCGATTTGAAGCATGAAAAAAAGGGTGGAGCTATGCCGAAGCCGATCTGTTTGACATGCGCTACAGTGGGTCACACTTACAAGACGTGTCCTGACGGATTTTAAGGTTGGCCTGAAGACAGCAAGATGTGACGACGCAACAAACTATTTGGCTAGTTGGTATTGGCCGTTAAAGAATTCTAACTTGCCATTGCTGACGAGCTTTCCGAGAACCACTGAAAGTCCCGAAATCGTCTTGGTGTCTGGAAATCATAGGAATTGAGATTATATAAGAAATGTATGATGATGAAAAAAATTTCGGTCGTAAACGTACAGGGCTGCGTGCCACTTCTCGCAAAGGTTGCAAGCATGTTGTGGATCCGCTGGATAGTAAGCGATCCAAAGTTCGAGAGCATACCAACAATATAGGCTTCCAATACCTTGAGATCTTCATGTGCTTGCGCATCCGACGACACAGCAGTTTCAAGCTCTTCAATTACTAAGTCGTTGTCACACCGCGTGTCCTCGTACGATTTGCTACCCACTAGCTCTTTACGCCCCGATGCAAAAGATATTAGCCCGTGATTGATCCACACAGAAATGTGCTTTAATAACAGGTCGTCTGAAATTTCGAGCTGCGCCGCAAGTTCCTCGATCTTCCACCGATCTGTGGAAAGATTTCAATTTATCAGACGTTTTCACGTGAAAAAGTGACATAACTGACTTTTATCTTCAAAATGTAAAATGATGGTAGCTTGAATCGGTGATAAAGTGAATTCGCGGACTTCATTCTCGAGTTCGATTGAGAGCTGCAATAAAAGACAGTATGGTCACTTAAATAAACGAGAGATCAAAGCCAATCACACGAACCTGTACTGATCCAAGTGAAGCATTCCAGTCTAATGAACGAGGGTTTCGCAATACGCTATAGGCTTCTTTAAATGCGTCAATATCCTTTGAGACTTTTGAGTGCAGTTTAAAATCTTCGCCTTGTAGAGGAGGCCAAAATTGCTGCGAAACAATCGTCGCATCGACGTAGCTAGATGGTGTCGTTGAATGAGCGAGTGAGTTATCAGTCGATGCTTCCTTCATTATTGCAAAGTTCTCCATTGCTGACAAAGCATTTCGGTTGAGTCGCTTTGAATCATCAACATCGCGCACCATGATTTCGCACTGCTGCAAGCTGTCCTCACCAAACCGCAACTTCAGTAACTCTAGTGTCTGCACGTCACGATCTGTATCGAATTCGAGATTCTGCAACAATTTATCTGCCAGCATTATCCGATATTCGTTTACAAACAATTCGCGACTTCCATATATATTAACCTTTCAAGCACAGTGAAAATAGTTAGGACAGCAATGTTTGTGAAAGCTGCATTAGGCGTACAAGAATTCTTAAAATATCATCACTGCTTCGACTGCGTGACGATTTTGTCGGATCCGCATCAATCGGATCTGGTTCCCACGAGTCGGGTGATATGTCCTGCAAAATAATAATAAACAGCCTTATATATCATGCTCGTGTGTTAGATAGCAGCGATATTACCTCGTCGTCATCGCTGTCATCGTCGTGCTGGATCATACGCATATTGTCTCGACGAAGCTCCTCGAATAGATCACCACTTTGCTCTTCTGTAAGACTCTGAACAATGCATCGAACTGTATCTTTGCGTTTCCTCAAATACTAACAAACTCATCTAAATATTGATGTCGGGAAAAACTTATAGTCGTCAACTCACCTCTTTGATAGGACCACTCAGGCCTTCGAGCAATACACCCTTGGGATCTAACAGTTGGAAGGCCTGACACAAGCACCATAAGTGAGTATCCGAGCTAGACGATTTTAACACGAAACGGTACCTTGATGGCAGACACATAAATGTCGAGAATCGCCGACGTATTAGCGCCTGGCTGTAATAATCGTGACTGCAACGCACGTCGAAATTCTTGCACAAGCTCGCCATGCTGCTGGGTACGCTCAAGACATTGTCGTAGATCTTCTAATGCTGGTATACTAGAAACAAGTCAGTGTATCTGAGATCACCGCACACTTCATCGCAACCCTTACCTATCGGGAAACTCTTTGATAATCTCAAATAGTTGCTTGATGCGTAGACTGCCAAATTCTTCAAGTGTATGTTGCGATACAATCTTTTTCCACTTACTAAAAATTACTTCATCGTTCGTCTGCAATGTCTCCTTAAGCCATGGCATCAAGTCAGAGCATGTCCACTGCTCTACATCTGCCAAAAACAGTTCGTCGTACACTTCTCCACATGTCGTCTTGACCTGTCTCTTAATTTGCGAATATAATACTCGTAATAAAGCAGATTCTACCACATGTAGCCACTCGAGCTGCAACAGAATTTGTTGTATCGGTCCTGAATTGAAAACTTCGGACTGCTCCTTGCCTCGAAATTTGTAAAAGCTCATAGAGAAGAAAATGATCAACAATTCTTCAAATTTTTCAACTGACCGCAAGTCTTCAAACACTAAAGTGCGAAATCGAATTTGAAGTTCTTGTAACATTGTCCACTGACCTCTTCTAAGCTGTACATGATCGTCAAAGAGGCTAGCGATCTCGACGCAGTGGGCAAAGGCTTCCTTGGCAAACTGCAGTGCTAATGTGAGCTGTTGCGCACACAGCAAAGCCACTCGTCTACGGTCTTGCTTGCTGTTCCTATTGCGTTTGATTTTGGCCGAAATTGGGTCAAAAAAGCCCCAAAAAGGCGGTACGATATCCGAACGTAACCAGTAACCGAGTCGCTGCAACAGCATCTCACGCAGAGGCTCGTGACGCCCATGAACTACAGCATTTTCAATTATCTTGCGCTGATATTCGCTATTTTGCTGTGCACTAGTGGAGACATCGTCATCGAACGCAAAGAGTTTGCGCCATAAAAGCTCGCGGTTTACGCCCAGGGTGCTCATCAATTTTATTGTTTTTTTATCGGTATTATTTCCTACACTTCAACAAAAAGCGAAAACTCGAATGATATGTGGTTCTACAGGTCTTCTTCTTTACATCTAAAATTGGATGAATGAGGTGATATGGACATAACAAATCTTTCACGTAAATCAACGGCTCGAAGGAAGCGAGCAATACGGGGTGACGCGTGTCAACTGATTCAAGTCTTTCTCAGTAAGTGTGCGTATACGACGGGCAATTCCCATTACAGCTTCGGAGAGACTATTAGATGGAAGCCATAATATAAGTATGGCAATCTTTGCGATCTTCAGTATCCTCGCACCGGACTTACTCGCTCCTAGGTGATAGATAGTTATGACGCTCTGCCGCGGGGCTCACAACAACGTTCACTTGGTAACCGATAATTTAATCCTGGCTTGGCGAGACAAGCCGGATTATCTACATGGGCTGATGTCGAAATCAATTCTATTGCAGTCACTCAAGACTAATCACATCGTGAATATGGACTCAATCCGATTCGGAGACGTCCTGCGCAACGAGCGGATCCTTACACCCTCGTTAATATCACTACGTAGCTTTAATACTCGCACATTTAAAAGTTTAGTTCATCATTTCAAGACTGCTCGATATTTGAAAAGTGAATCTTGATCCAAATCCTTGCTATATTAAAAGATCTATATGGTAGCGAGACTGGAAGAAAGACCTAGAACGAATCCCGGCTGTTGTAAGTTTAAATTTCAGAGTGAGCCCGAGTAGTACCGTTGGCAAGTGTCGCGCTCAGACTGAAAAAACTCATCTGCCATATCAATGCGCTAGTTTGCCGCTCAATATGCGGCAGAAAAGTACTTAGATATACAAGATTCTATCGCGATAACGGAATCGTGTTTTTGGCAACGTACACCCGAGAAAACTAGCCTATCTGATATCCTCGATTCCTTTTTTTGAGCAGGTTTTGCCGGAACGACCCATGAATGTAGTGCTTGTTGAATCGGAAGTCAGTTTCATAAGCACATTTTTTTATTTGGTGACACAAAAAGCAAATCTGATCGATTTAGCGCCTCGCATCGTTCTCCGATGACGCCTAGTTTGGAATACTCAACTGCATCAAAAAATGTTATTTGTTATCCAAGCGTCGCCATTCCTTGACCATGTAAAAATGCAGCTCTTTCCCGTCGCATGTGATCTTGTTGAGCCTAACTCTTTGTCGCCATCGCGTTTTTTTCTACTAGAAATTTTATCCTTTTTTCTTCTTCATATTTTAAACGGATGACATAAGATCAGCTTTTGAAAAATATATAGTTATCAGCTTTAGGTTATTAATTATTAGACTGTAGCTCCAAGTTAGAGCTTCTCCGTATCTTTTCTTTTCGCCGACTGCCGCAGGCTTCAATATCCTCCTCCTCAATAAATGCAGTAAGCTCAATTCTCACACCGAATTCAATAAATAAAAAAACTCAAGATCTCTATCATTGATACATAGCTTGAGCGTTTCACGCAGCTGAGATGATCTCCAAAACGAATGCTAGTCGTTAGTTCAACCGATACACAAAGGTCAAAGTTTTCTAATGAATGATTTTAGTTTGTGAAGGCCACAAAATTGTAAGTTCTTATACTTTTAAAGTTAATGACAGCAACAACATTTACCAAGATTTATAAGCTAAAGCCCAGACTTATTCTTAAAGTCTTGGCTTGAAGTGTCCTACTCATCGCGATGCGGCTGATGCATTTCGGCCTTTGGTTTCGACACGCAATCACAGTATAAATTCAACTCGATTTCAAAAAACAGCATCTTGCGTACAGACAACAATGTGTCAATGTAAACTCGCTCACATACAATAGCTTGATAAGTTCAGTGCAACTGTTTCTGTTATGGGCGACGTTAAGCTCAATCCGATTCTCGCAACTTTTGGGAGAGTACTATAGGAGTTTTGCGTACCAGCTACTCCCGATACGGTAATTTTTTGCTGATTTCTTTGTCATGGTGATCTTAATGCTTTATAACCGGGTTAAGCAGGCTAGCTCGTGTACTTACAACAACAATTAGCCAAATGTATGGTTTCGTACAATACAGTAGAACCTGTCTAAATCAAACCTGTTTAATTTAAAACCCGCTCTAAATTGAACAGAAAACATGGACCCATGTTGGGCACCATACAGTAGAACCTGGCTAAATGGAATCTGTTTAGTTTGAAGCCCTCTCTTAATAAAGCACTGTTTTCCTGTCCCAACATGTTTAGTTTAGACAGGTTTTACTGTAGTACAAAATTCACGCTGCTATTTTTGTAATATTGAGAATATACATGGTCTCGGTATCACATAACTTGTTAAATATGCTTTAAAATGGCAGAGCAAACTAAATTAAGCCTTTTTGCTCATGAGTGGACTCAATATCTGCGCATTTGTTAATGCATACACATTGAGTCGAAAACTCATCTGCGCAAAATGCATAGTTACTTTGTGCATTTGCTAGCAATTGTAAAAAATCCTAAGAAGGAGACGTGAAAGGACATTTTCCATTTGCTGTACAATGAGATATGGAATTAAGTTTCTTAATACTGTGAGATTTTAGTCACGGATATCAAATCCACTGCATGTTTAGGGACTTGTAAATGTTTGATTCTTACTGTAACAATTATAGCGCAAAATATGCGG